AGGCAGAGTCTCACTCTGTTTCCAAGGCTGGAGTGCAGTGGCACGATCTCTGCTCACTGCAAGCTCCGCCTCCCGGGTTCACGCCATTCTCCTGCCTCAGTCTCCCAAGTAGCTGGGACTATGGGCGCCCACCACCACGCCTGGCTAGTTTTTAGCACAGATGGGGTTTCACTGTGTTAGCCAGGATGGTCTCCATCTCCTGACCCCGTGATCCGTCCGTCCCGGCCTCCCAAAGTGCTGGGATTACAGGTGTGAGCCACCACACCCGGCTTAGGGATATTTTCATAAAGACATCTGTCTTGCAAACTTTGGCCTATGAAGAACCACAAGGTAGGCTCCCATATTGTAACCATATGGGCACCTCAGGCCAGGGAACTTGTATGCTTAACTGGATTTTCAGGTTACATTTTTGGTTCTGTCTATAACAAGACACACTTCTCAACCTCGACATTGGTGGGAAATGTTTAAATCCACATTACATTTTTGCTTTAGTAAGGAGAGTCAATTGAGTGAAACAGAATATTTCTCTGATGAATTGTATTGAAACATAATATTTCTCTGATGGATAGCATTACAGTATCTATATGCCTGGGCATCGACCTTTATTGTCCACCCTGAAGATGGGGAACTTGAAGAGGTCTGGACTGATTCTTTGAGGGTCCTTAGGACAGTTTAGAAAAACAATTTGTTTGTTTGTTTGCTTGCTTGCTTGCCTGCTTGTTTTATCAGATCTCCGGCATGAGTTAACTTTCATTTATGTCTTTCCCATCAGACCAGAGTAAAAAATATGGAACCAACCCTTTCTCCCTCAAAATGAAATGTGGGCAATTGCATGTTAATCCAGGTACCAGTGTATCTCGGAGATCAGGGGAAAATCCTGACCACAGATAACTCTGGTATGGGTCTTTAATATGCTGCAGGATTTGCTGAGGACTGACATGCGTCAGGCTAAGAACTTTACCCACACTATGTCATCAAATTTTCGAAGCCATTATCTGTGTATTATTATTATCTCCATTTCACAGAAGGGGAAACTGAGACCTGAGGAAGTTAAATAATTTCTGCAATTACTTGGTAAATGTCCAAGCTGGGTCTTAAACTCAGCCCTGACCAATTCCAGAGGCTATGCTGTATTCCGCTATCCTGCTGATTCTCTCAGACCCCTCTCAGGCTAGATGAGGTGCTTCTCTTAGGGCATTATTCACTAGTTTTACAAATAGGTGTTGGGAGTCCTTACTAAGCACCCCACATGACATTAGGCACTGGGGATACATTGACGAATGGGATAGACTTGGTTCTTGCCTCAGTGGGACTTGCAGTCAAGGGAAACCAGACTTAATGTTTGGAGAATGAATGAACGAACTGAAGGAATAACTCAAAGTCATCATCCCTTCTGGTACAAAGTGCTATATGGTTTAGCCCCTGACACTTCACTAGTGTGTGCTAATATTTTACCAAGAGCTGGGCAGTGAACCCCTTGGGAACAGAAACCATTCTGCAATTATATCCCATGTATGACTAGGTGATGCATGTCCAAATCTCTCAATAGGAGAATTGCTTGAACCCATGAGGCGGAGATTGCGGTGGGCCGAGATCGCGCCATGGCACTCTAGCCTGGGCGACAGGAGTGAAACTCCATCTCAAAAAACCAAAACAAAACAAAACAGAAAAAGAAAGAAAAAGAAGAGAGGTCCCTTTAAACATGAATGAGGGTGATCCCAACAAGCAAACAAAAATAAAATATAACAAAATAGAAAGGAAGGCA